ATCTTTTTTGGTGGTGGTGGTAGTGGTTGGGAGGAGGGCAGTCTGCCTGGATTTCTCCCAAGAAGTTCTCTTCCTGATCGCTACACAGGCATTCAACTCATGGGTAAGTGACGTTCCACCCAAGCTTCTAGGATTGGGCGCTCTGGCCAGGTTCCGCTCCCCTATAACCCTTCCTCAGTGGGAGGGAAACTAGGCAGCTCTGCACAGGCCCTGCGGCTGAGGTGCGTCAGGGAGGCGAGGACCTGAATTAGCCCATCATCAGGTGGTCACCAGCTAGTCATCGTGCATATACAGAGCAGGAGATGGCAACCCTGGCAGGTAAGCATGCTCCCGGCCCAGGGCCTTAGCAGACATTGTCGATCAATTCCACCACTTTCACACTGACTTGGCCCAAAGTTGCAGAAAACATGATCAGTCAGAGTTGGTACCTGGGTGAAGCTGACTTCCCACTCTTGACCCAGACACAGACAGAACTCAACAGTCAGAGTTAGTCTGAGTCAGAGCCAGACAGGACAGCAACAGGCGTCACACACATTGGAATTTCAGAAGCCCTGAGGCGAAGGGCAGGGGGCACACTGGCCTTGCAGGACTGCAGGCAAAGCTGATGATGTACAGTTGTCCAGGACTCCAGTTTGCCAAGCACCCTCACTAATGCCCATAGCTCTTGCGGTGGAAATTACTTCTATGTCATAGCCGAATACATGGAGGCCAGGGAAGTTCTTTGCATGATGTCACCATGTGGTCCACTTAGCCGACCCGCTTCCTCTGAGGTACAGGCTGGTTCCTCGGGAACAGAGGTGAGACAGGACAGGAGATCAGATTCTCCTGATGGCTCATTCTGAAGCTGAGGCCTGGGAGGGAAGCAGTGGGAGGGGAGTGGACGGCAGCCGTGTGGTGTGCTGGCAGAGGCAGGACAGGCTGGGGGCTTTATTTGCAGCATTTGCTGATTCTCTGGGGGGTATGAGTGCTCTTGCTTTGGCCCAGTTCAAGCTACCAGCTTGAACACCTCTGGGCACCACTGACTGTGGGGTTGGAAAAGATGAGCCATCAGGACTCATCTCCAGGTCAGGAAAGCAGTGCCCAGAAGGGAGCACCTGGTTGTCTGCTCCCCGTGCAGCAGTGACCTGCACAGGCTCTCTGCCTGGGTGGCCTGTGAACTCCCCCTACCAGGTGCCCCTAACCCACGGCCCGCGGGCCACATGTAGCTCAGGATAGCTATGAATGCAGCCCAACACAAAATCGTAAATGTATTTAGAACCTTTTTTTTTTTTTTTTTTTTTTTGCTCATCAGCTTTCATTAGTGTTTGTGTATTTAATGTACGGCCCAAGGCAAATCTTCCAGTGTGGCCCAGAGACACCAAAAGGTTGGATACCTCTGAGTTTAAGCCCATGGGGAGTTGGTCTCAGGGCCTGTGCTCTGGCTTGCAGCTCATTGATCTTTCCTCTGCAGCCTGCAGCTCCCTCCAGTGACACAGTGGGCAGGTGGGAGGAATCTTGAGAACCTGCAACAGTCAGGAGCCACCGGGGAGGAGTGGAAGTGGGAGGCACTCACCCCTTTAAGACCTCTACCCAAGAACCCCGTCCCTCCCTGGTGGCTACCACTTGCTGTGGGCAGGTGATGTTGGCTTTGCAGGAGTGGTCAGGGGCCCAGGGGAGCTGGGGAGCTAGGAATATCCTCTGGAGACCAGAGGTGTGTTCAGGGGGCAGGTCACCTACTCCTCTCCAGACACCAAACCTTATCTGTGTCTCATTCTGGGTCACAGTGCAGAGCCTGGAAGTGACTGCATTCATTTCACAGATTTGCAGAAGTGACCCAGAGGACGGGCAGAAGCTCCTGGGATGCCACAGGAGCCAGGCGGGATGAAAACCCGCACTCCATGCACTGTCCAGCCCACCACCTCCTGGCCCTGCTGGCCCTTAAACCAGGGGACACTGCTTGGGCAAGCTGGCAGTTACCCAAGTCTGCCCTGCCTCCATGTCTGGAAGCCCACACTGAATTTTCCAGCAGCGACATCTTTGGAGTCATTTGTTTAGGAAACTGGCCATGGCTCCTCCCTGACACCAAAGAACAAGGCTACACCCTAATGCCTGAGCAGCCCAGGACTTGGGAGCCGAGTCCCTCAGGGTTGGGGACAAATGGGGCTGAGAGGATTGTAGCAGATCATCCGGTACACCCTGTCCAAGGGGTAGCAGCCATTACTCACCTCCAGACAGTGTGGTTCCCACATGGCCAGAAATTCTAGTTTTTAAAGAGAAGCCCAATATCCAAATTTTTGTGTGAGGTCTTTTGATTTTTAAGTGCTGGCAACATTACAAAAGCATTTTTTAAAAATCATGTGGGTCAAATTGAACACATCTTCAGGCCACTGTCTACAGACTCTGGTCTTGAGCCTAAATCCTTCCTGAGCCACAGAACTCTCTTGCTTACCTGTGAGGGTCCCAGACACCCCTTCCCCTCCCTCCCACCTCTAGCCTCAGCTGTGCCCACCGAGACCCCTCCAGGCCACCCTGGGGGCTGAGCCATTCACTGTGTCCAGACCCTGTGGCTTCCACTCTGAAGATCATGCCCTGAGACTAGATCCCTTGCCTCGATCATCACTGCTGTCAACCATGGACCTTCAGGTTCCTCTTTCCCGATTCTTGCAGACAACTGTCTTATTTGTGCTCATCTCAAGGCTTCCCACATCTCGACGCCTTTGTCCTTGACCTCCTCTCCTTCACTGACATCCTCTCCCACCCACCCCTACAAGCCACCTGCCTGGGTCCCTCACTCCCTCTCCTCCTCACCTCCCCTCAGCCAGCTTCAACCCCATGGCCCACTACTGCCACTTCTGCACCGCCTCAGTGCCCAGTCCCTCTCTTGCTTTCTGGACTCTCCCAGCACAGCTCCCACTCACATGAGTTCAGCTCTCTCCCCCCAGCTTCACACCCAAGGTGGCAAGGACAATGTCTCACCGCTCACTGCCAGTATCACCACAGCTCGTGCCACTAACTTTAAGTTGAACTGGTGTTTCCCAAAAACCCAGGACACTGCCCAGTGCAACCTGCTTCCTCTCTCCAGGTCTCTAGTTCCCCTTCACCGCTCCCTCAACCTCCGACCTCTGGTCCCCACCTGCTGGAGGAGTTCATGACTCTCCCCCCCTGAGCCCACATATGCTGTCTCTGTGTGTTGCTGTGAGTGGGTTCCCTGTCCCCGACCCCAGCACCTAGTCCCACCCAAAAGCTCAGGGCTCTTGTTAAGCCAAGACCAGAACCCTCCTCTGCTCTGAGACCCGGAAGTCTCTATACATACAGCCTCAGTCCCCTGTCAGCCCTGTTCCCCCTCACTCTCAGCTCAGGCCAGCTTGGTGCCTGAAGTTCCAGATCACAGAGCTGTTTTCCCATTTGTAAATGAGGACCATCTCTTCCGAGGGAACGGTGAGGAGAAAATTGTGCTAAGCTGGTACAGCAGAGCTGCAGGGCACAGCGCACAGCGCACAGAAGCATGTCCACAAGGAAGCATGTCCACATTAAGCTCTGGGCGTTTGCTGACACCCGAGCAAAGGCCACAGCACCATGCCAAGGGACCCGCTCGGGAAGCAGTTGCCCCAAACCAACAGGTGTAGTCCCAAGAACAGACTCCAGAGGGCGCCACCACCACAGTTCTGAGTGGCCTGTGCCTAAGTCATGCCACCAGGTACACCTGGCCAGGGGAGGCTACTGGAGCTTTGCAGATGAAGGGGACTCGCACACTTCCAACCCAGGGGAGTTGACCCAGCGCCCTTCATCAGCCACTGAGACTAAAGAGGCTTGGAGAGGTGGGCAGTACGTGGGTGCGTGCGGGAGCTGGAGCTCAGGACCGGAGGCCAAGCAGCTGCTCACAGCTGCTTGGATGGGCATCGGGCAGCTCCTAAGTGGAAGGGGATGGATAATTAAACACCCGCCCTGAAGAGACTGATCTGGTTCCCAACAGCGATTACCATCACCCTCCAGCTTCCCCATCGCTGGCCGCAGCTTGGAGGGCAGTTGCCTCACCTGTGCCCGTTTCAGCTTCTTGAGTTGAAGGCTGGACAGGATGGCCTTCAGCCCTGGCAGCCCACCCCTGGTGCCAGACACCGTGAGTGCACCCTGGTCTGGGTTCTGTCACACTCGGTGATGGTCTTGTTTCTGGCCTTGTTAACTAAGGGGTGGTCACACTGACCACCTCTCCCACGGCCTGAGGTTGCAAGCACTCCAGAGGGTGAGTTCCAGTGATGCTGTCAAAGGCCACCCTTTAACAAACCTGAGGCTAGAAGTCAGAGGCCTGCCACCTTGGTGTCCAACTGCCCAATAGCGTCCTTGTCTACCCAGGAACATGTGTGCAGCTCGCAGGCGGCTGCCAGCTCCTGAGGGCAGGCAGCCTGGGGAGGAGAGTGATGCTTTTGAAAAGGGCCCTCCCTCCTTCCTTCCCACTGAGACAGGGGCCCTTGCTGCCCCGCAGAGCCCATAGGATGGAGGGCATGGGCTGCGGGGTATGAGCAAGCACACCTGAAAGAGTGCGGATGTCCAAGCCAAGCTCCTGGCCCCTTTGCTCCACTTCCCCCACAGGTGCCTCCAGTGGGAACCTCTTGGCCCACCTGTGGGTGGCAAACAAGTGGGGGTGGATGGGTAAGAGCTCAGGGAAGATCCAACAGAAAGGCCTTGTAAGTCTGCGCCACCCTCAGGGCAGACCTGCTGGAACCTCAGCCGCCAGGAAGATTCACAGCTGCAGGCTGCACTGCCCTGCCTGAGGCCTGTGGCTTAGATACCAGAGCTGGAGTCACCCCTCTGCTCTGCCACTTACCTGCTGGGATAACCTGGGCAAGTCACTGCCCTCTCTGAGTCTCAGACCCTATGTGCGATGGGGGAGGTAACAAGCAGTTGCCCCGAAGTTCCGATAGGAAGGTAGATGGAAGGCACAGGACCAGTGTCACAGCCTGCTGAAGTTGGAGCAGGAGGCTGTCCCACTGGCAGCCCCACCCACAAACATGTCCCTGCCTCACCAGCCCTCGGGAAGATCACACCACGTACACCTCAGGGCAAGTGGACTCACGCTGGCATTTTATTGGCTTTTCTGTGGGCACTTGGATGTCTCAAGCAGCTATCGGGCTTCTCAGCCCCTCACCCCATTACTGGCCTCTGCTCTGGGGGCCCCAGCTCGGAGATGCCAGCCCTGCACTGTCTTCTCACAAGGCCTTCCTACAGCTGGATCCCCAGCCCCCAGGCTCAGGCTGCTACTGTGAGACAAACCCAGTTTTCCCACTGCCTCCCTTGGCGTCAGGCTGCCGGACCAAGGGCCCATTCCTGCATTGGGCACAGACAAGCTCTCTTGCAGAACAGGCTTCCAGCGCAGGGTCCCCTGGCAGTGCCTTTTGGGCTGTGACATATTCTTCACAGAATAGCAGGCTCCGACCTATAGCTTGGTGTTAAGGTGGAAAGAGAAGTGGGGTGCTGCGTAGGTTGCGGCAGGCGGTATGTGCCACGCAGCAGATGAGGCCGGGCAGAGTCTGTGGCGGAGGGCACTGTCGAAAGATGCTGGGGGAAAGTGCATAAGGCCAGTGGCCATGGGCGAGGGGGCTGTTGTGGCGAGGAAGTGAGCTGGGAAGGCTGGGATGACCAGGGGGCTGAAGGGGAGCGTGGCCTGGCCTTTTAAAGGGTCTGGGGTGCTGGTGAAGTTCAGTGGGCAGCGCAGCATGGTGCCCCTGTAGGCCTCCGGGAGGGCAGGCCCCAGGGCCGGGCCCAGCAAGCAGGAGACAGCCAAGCCCGGCCCCATGGACTTGACCCCACACTCTTTGGCATCCATTTCCTTGAGAAAGGGAGACACTGCCCGCAGTTTTTTGCTACCAGGGGCAAAGCCCTCTTCCTCCCGGCTGCGCTTGCTGAGGCCTGGGCTGCCAGGGAAAGTGGGGAGGGGCACAGGGCTCTCAGTAGGAACCTTGGCCATGGGGGACACCCAGCAGGCTTTGGGCTTGGGGTAAAGGTTGCCTTTTCTGGAGCCACCTTTGTGGAATGCAGAGGGACGGTTGATATCCCCACCCCACACCAGTGGCGGCTCTTTGACTGGCAGCCCCTCCTCTTTGCCAGGAGGCCCCAAGAGCACCCCATCTTTGAGATGGGGAAAGAAGTCCCGGGGGTGCTGGCTGATAGGCTTCAGCACCTTCGTGGGATAGGCATGAAAACAGCCAGTGAAGAAGGGGGCTGGTGGGTGGGGGCCCTCCTGAGCCTCCTCCCTGAGGCTGCCACCAGGGGCCTGTGATCCTTCCTGAGGGGCCAGCCGGTGCCTGTGGTTCTCAGGTGGCCCTCCTGGGCTCCGAGGACTCTCTGGGGGGCGAGCAGCTGGGGACACCTGGGGCTCCCCATTAGGGCTGCTTGCTCCGTGGCGACAGCTCTCCTCCTGGCACTGCAAGGCTTCTGCCTGGCTCACCTGAGCCAGGAGCTTCTTTTTGGCCAGTGGTGACATGATACCATGTGTCCCTTTGCAGTAAAAGCTGGACAGGAGCCTCTTGTAGGCCTCAGGGCAGCCGCTGGCACCAACGAAGGGTAGAGAAGACCTGGGAGCTGGGCCTGGCTGATCAGTGCTGTCCTTGGGGTGCTCTTGGCTGGGGGGCCTCACCAGATCGGCTGCATCTATCTTGGTCTTTCCTGGAATCATCTAGAACAAGGAAGGGCCAGGCCTCAGAGCTGCGTGCCAGCCATCCATCCTGACCTGGGGAAGTGGTGACACAGGGCCCCAGGGGGTACCTAGTGTCCTCTGCTAGCCTTTCCAGTGCCTTTGTACAACATTTTCAAAAGGAGTCCTGTCCTCTGAGGGACACAGCCTGGTGTCGGGGCACAGGGCCTGGAGAATGGAGTGCAGACCGGAGTTCAGATCCCACATGGGCCCTGAAATAGTGAACAACTGGAACCAGCAGATTCTGGGTGTTCTGGGCAGGGAGCTCTGTGGCCATGCCATAGTGAGGACAGGTGGGGGCAGCTGCAAGAGGCCGGGGACAGGAAGGCCCAGGCTCAGCTGGTGGCCCTGGCTGGGCTCGGAGCTCACCTGGCCCACTGGCTTCTCCTCCTTGGCCTTCTTCGGCCTTTCCGTGGCCCCATCATCCCCTCGAGGCTCCTTAGCCATTTTGTATTGCTTCCTGGGCTTGGAGGGAGGCAGCGGCTTGTCATCCTCCCCCTTCAGGTGCCGCACGTATGGAAGGACAAGCCTGAGGAGGGAATGAATGGCAAGTCCACCAGGAGGCCAGGACCAGCAGGCACATCCATCGCTCCCATCTCCAGCCCACTCCTCTTGTTCCTCCCCCCAACTACGCACACTCCTGTGGACAGGGCCTGTAGCCAGGGCCACGCTCTTTCTCACCCTGTCCCGGAGGCCTGCAGCGTGGCTGTCCTGCCAGTGCTCTGGCCGCGAAGAGCAGTAGAACACACGCCCCGCGCCCTGCGGCTCATCCTGCCCCACCCTGTATACAACTGTATACAGTCCTGCACCGCACCCCTGGGAGGGCAGGGCCCAGCCGTCCTGTACCCGCCCCAGCCGCACCTCTCGTAGTGGCGGCGCGTGCACGTGGCCGCACTGGTGCTGCCTGGGCTGCCCCCCAGCTCGTCATACACATTCTTCCAGAGACGGCGGCCAGTCACCTGCAAGGGCACCACATGAGGCAGGGTGCCCACCGGCAGTGGGGCCAGGTTTGGCAGGGGGCGCTGGCCAGCACCTGACCCCCTACCGTAGCCACTGCGCTGCTGGCCCCAGCAGCCTTCCGAGCTCAGGGAAGGTAGAACAGATGGAAAGAAAGGAAAACTTGCTATGAGCGGCAAAGGACCAGGGCAGGCAAGCCCCTTCCCTCCCCTCTGCGTGCAGGAAAGCTGGGGAGGGGTAGGATTTGGCACCGTGCCTCCTCCTGTCTGGAGGCAAAGGCAGCTCTGTGGGGCTCACCCTCTTCCCAGCTCCCCTTGGGTGCAGCTGGGATATGTGGAGAGCAGCAGCAGGGTGAGGACTCAGAGGCGCCTTCCTTACCATCTCATAGGCCCCCAGCTTCTCCACTGCCTTGTAGATCTTCCACAGGTTAACTGGAGAAAAGAGAGGGCAGGGACAGTCAGTCTCTGCCAGAGGAGGGACAGCCAGCAGCCCATTCCCGTGGCCCTGTCAGGCAAGCACAGAACCAGGGCCACTGCAAAGGACTGCAGGCCGGGCGGGGCCTGTGCACCTGCAGCCCAATGGCCAGTGAGGATAGAAATCCAGCTCTGCCCTTTGCCAGTCCAGTACCTGGAAGGGAGTGTTCTTTCTATATGCAGCCGCCGAGGGCTTGCAGTGTGGAGGTCACCCAGAGTGGAGCTGCATGCCCCAGCGGCCTGCCTGGGTGGGGTCTCCTACAGGGCCCCTCTCCCCACCTGCACCCCAGACACGTACTCTGCTTGAAGCCGAGATGGGGCAGCCTCTCGATGGGCGTGTGTCGCTCCTTCATGAACTTGTAGAGGCTGACCAGGAAGGCCTGCTCCTCCTCTCGCTCCTGCTCCTCCTCACGCTCCCTGCCTGCCTCAGGGGAGTCCTGGGGAAAGAACAGGAGACACTGGGGTCAGCCCCAGTTGGTGGGTGGCTGGGGACAGGTGGAACCACTGGCTGTTGGGGAGGAATGTGGTGTGCGTTCCCCAACCCCAGGCTCCCACAGGAGGGAGCAGGCCCCCAGCACCCAGCCTATTGCTCTGATCTGGAGTGACTGCCCTGGTGTCAGAAAGATGCTGTTGTCAAGACACTGGTGCCCAGGACCGCAGGTCAGAGTCCACAGAGGCCTGACTCCCGAGGAGGCCATAGGAGCAGCCTCCCACCTTCTCCAGGCCCCTCCCCAGGCACAGATCACTTCCTTATTCTGCTCTAGATTTGTTACATCTGCATCTCAGGTCTTCTACCAGGCTGTGAGCTCTTGGTGGCAGTCTTGGTGTCCCCAGACCTCTAAATGGCCCGTGTGGTCAAAGCTGAAGGAACAAAGGTGCTTGGTGCTTTCTGGTGCTGAGGCGCTGCTGAGCTAGGCCTGTGCCCACCCAGCCTCCGCCGTGGTGGCCTTCCTCTCTGACCTGCCAGTCTGTGTGCTGAACTCAGGGAGGTGGAGCCTCGGCCTGGGTTGCTGGTACACTTCTTTCAGGTGTACAGAACTTCTGGGTTCTGCCCCCCGAGGTGCAGTTTCTGCTGATGCTGTTCATCTGGCTAGCAGCTCAGGGCAGAGGGGGAAGGTTAGGCTGGGGCTGAGGGCTCAGGGAATAGACAGCTCCCAGGTCATGGGTGACAGTCCCTGAATACCCGAAGAACGTGGCCATGCAGGCCTAGAACAGTGCAGAGCCGTGCGTTCCCCAATATCCTATCAAGTGCTGTTTCAGTGTTTTTGACTTATCCAAGACCTCTGATAGTAAACACGCAGGCTCATGTGTTACCTTTGAAATCGTAACAAACTGGAGACCAAGGTGCTCGGCTGGTGTCACCCCCGAAGGAAGGCACTCATTACTGCTCTTCATGTGTATCTGGGCTTCTGTTCCTCTTCTCTGAGCTAGGCAGGCCGTTAGGAACTGTGGCCCCTTGTGACTACTTTTCTACATAAATTAGGATTTTGACTCCAGACTCTGCCACCAAAGCAAAAGGCCAAAATGGACGGGGCTGAGGCTGGCTGCTGTGCAGCGTCACCACGGCTGGCCGCTCCTCAGCCTGAACTCATCGAACTGAACAGCATCACTGATGTCGCCAAGTGACTTTCATGCCCATTATAAGTTTGGATGGATGGATGGATTGATGTAAATGTAGTTTTACATCATATAATAGTGCTTTTATCTGTCATCTGATCAGGGTTCCCAGTAATCTTTGTTTGATAAAGGGTTCTGCTGTGAAAAAGGAGTCTGCCAACCCCGCCCTGGTGAGGGCGAGCCCTCCTGCCTGCCCAGCTCCCACACCCCCCAGTGCAGGGCCCAGGACCGCAGGCTGGGCCCCTCTCCTGGCTCTGTAGGACTGGGAGCTCCCTCCTGAGAGCTTGGGGGTCTCCAAGTTCATCTGGAAAGGACCCCCAGGGAATTGCCTAACTCACCTCCAGCTGGATTGGGCTCTGGCTCCTGCTCTGCTCACCACCGGGTTGAGGGGACACAGGTGGGTCTAAGGGGTCACCCCCCTCTGACTGTTTCCTTTTCCCTTTGACAGGAAGAAGAGGGAGAAAAGGAGAGAGAGAGGACACGTGAGATGCAGGTAGGGAGAAAGAGGTGGTGAGGAGAGGCTCCCTGGGGTGAGGTGCCAGATCTGGATGGGCCAGACAGGGGGAGCGTCCTCTCCTTCTCGGCCCTTGCGCGTGGTCCAATAAAAGTGCATGTGGATGCCCGCTGGTGGGCAAACCCTTTGCTCTCCCGTGTTCACCCCCTACCAGGCCCACCCATGCCACACCTACCTCTTGTCCTCCCTCTGTCCCAGCATTTCCTCACATCTCTGAAAGAAACCCTAAACCGGCTGGGGGTCAAGTCAGAGGAGGCTGGGGTTGGGACCACGGCGCTTGGGGAAATCTGTTTCCAAAATCCACCCCACACTCAGGCAGGAAGCTTTCACAGCACCTCAGCTGAACTGGGAAAGAGACTGAGTCGGCCACGTTTGTGGGAACCCAAAGCACCACAGGGGTGCTTGAACTGTACATCCTCCAAGAATGACCCAGAAAAGAGTAACTTCCTGTTTGTGACACACCGGACCTGTCCCTGAGCATCTGCAGAGTCCTCACCACCCCCTGCTTCGTCACCTGCAAGGGTCCTGGTGACCCTTCAGGTCCCACCTAACAAGTTGCTTCCTCTGTGTGACCCTTCCCAGCCCCCAGCCAAGCACAGCATTCCTGCTTCTGTCTGGTGTCACTCCTTACCACCATCCTGATTGCTTGTCGCTTGTCAGCAAGGTAAGGTGAATGCAGGGAAGAGCCAAGGACCTTTCACTGTCAAAACACCACCATGGACACTGCCTTGGACCACGCTGGCAGGAGATCCGAGAGACCAGAAAACTATGTCTTTTGACAACCTTTCCTTTCTCTTTTTCCTTTCCTTGTTTCTTTCTGTTAATCTAGTATGAACTGCTCTATCTATAGTGCTGGTTTGCTCCAGCTCAGGAAATCCTTACTGCTGGGAACCTGTGAGGTTACCTCTCCATCCCAGACAGAGGAATCTCCTTGAGAACAACAGACCCACACCAACACGGCCCATGAGGCCAGCAGCACCCCGAGGCACCTGCTGTTAAGCTTTGGCCACCGGATACTGTCCTCTTTGGTAGCTGTTCACGGATGCGCTGCTATGCCTGCCATTATTCACGCTGCATGGGTCCTGGGCTCTGTGTCCCTGGCTCTCTCATTTAGTCCCAAAAGGGATCGCATTTTGAAGAGGGGAAAACTGAAGCCAGAGAGGTTAAGTTCTTTTTCCCCTGAGGGCCCAGAATTCAAAACAAGGTCTGGCCCCCAGTCCAGTGACCTGGCCTTGCCACCACTGTGGCTGCTGTGGCTGCCAACACTTGCAAAGCCTTGAGGAAGGGTCTCAATAATCCTGGGAGAAACCAGTCCTAACACTTGTCAAGAGAGAAAGTGACACGGCCATCCTCTCAGGCTGGTTTCTGACCACCAGAGACAAGGCCAATCTCCAGAAACAACTGGCGGCTAGCAATGACCCCCCCTGCCTGGTGCGTTTCCTTGGGCGAGTCTGTGCCTCAGTCTTCCCTTCTGTAAATCAGGAGAGAAAGTCCTGGAGTCCTCTGCTAACTGCCTGGGAATTCCTGGTCTTCTGGGCCATGGAAGCAGCTGCTGCCACCAACTTTTCTCCTTTCCCTTCCTGCCCTCTCTGCTCTGCATTCACGTCCTCTCTCCCTTCTTTCCTGCTGGCTCAGATCCTCGGCATCAAAAGACTCTCTCCATCTGTTCCTGTGACTTGAGCCTCTCACTGGAGCCCTCCTGCAGATTGGCTATGTGACCCTGGCAAGTCGCTGCACTTGGGCCTCAGAGAAACAGGCGGCTGGAACAGGGCCCTGTAGAGCCACCTGGGCAGCATTCTAAAGACACTGATGCCGGTCTCCCCACCCCAACCTGAATTTGATTGAAGGTCCTGCTGGGGGGCATCCAAGTTGAAAGGTCCCCAGGGGATTCCAGAGGGCAGCCAGTCTGAGAGCCACTGGGCCAGCGGATCTCTAGTCCCTTAGGCTGGGGTTCCAGAGTTGGTGAGCTCTGTCTGGACCACACTCAGGAAAGATATCCTGGAGTCAGGCTCTCTGGTTACCTGGAAAGGAGGTCACCAATCTGAGCTGTTTAACCCCAGGCGGCAAAGGGATTAGAGCACTTGCTGAGAGCCACAAAGGGGCAAACTCTCTTTACTTCTGTGTCCAGCGGAGTCCCCACATGAACTCAGCTTCCACTGTCTCCCAACAAGGGCCAGTTGCTCTTCCTGTCCTGGCTGGGCCTTCTGGCCCCACGGCCACAGGCTTAGATGATGGAGGGGAGAGCCCAGGGTGCCCTCAGACCTGGCCTGGCTGCCCTGATCCCCTCCTTCGCCAGTCATTTATAGATCAGGGTTCTAGAAAATCTGCATTTGGAAAAAGGGCTCTGCTATGAAAAATAAGTTTGAACTCCCCTGCTACAGGTGATGGGCAAGCTCTCCCGCCTGCCCAGCTTCCAGTTGTCACACTTCCCATGCAGGGCCATCCCAGACCTCCAGCCACATCCAGGCTGCAAAGGCGGGAGAAACCACCTGCCCTGAGTGACTGCCCTGCTTTGAACACCAAGCCTCAAATGCCGTACTGTGACAGAGGCAGATTCAACCCCAACGATCTCTGCTCTCCAAAGGAATGGCATTCAGACATTGCTTTTTCCATCCTGGAAGCAGTAATGACAATAATCGTGACGGCTGTTTCATGGTTTACTTTGAATACATCTGGAGTCTATATGGTATGAGATAAGGACCTAACCATATTCTTCTCCCCACTGGTTAGGTGGTCCCAGTATTGACTGAGTGACCCTCTCCCCCAATGATTTGAAATGCTGCTTTCCCCAAGATCGAAAGGCTTCTATGGAGGGCATCTGGGACGGGTTTGGGCTTTCCGTTTTGTTCCATTCACTGTGGAATGCAGGGACCCACGCACACTGTTGTCATTTTTGAGGCTTTGTAAAACAACTTACTATTCAGAAGGCATGTCCTTGTCATTACTCCTCTGTTTAAAAAATGCCATCTAAACTTTAGGAAAATTTTGTCACATTCCCTTCAAAAGAGGAAACCATTAGGGTTTTTATTGAATTGTTTTTAAATCTAGAAATTACTTTGAGGAGAAATAACACATTTCTGTATTTCATCTTCCCTTTCAGGACATGTCTCTGTTGATTTAGGTCTCCCCTCGTGGTCCTCACACGGTCCTTCTTAAGGCCCTGTCCCATTCCTTTTAGGCTTATTCCTCATGAAGCAAGATAATAGTGTGAGAAAAGCCTTGACAACCGAGGGTAGGAATTGGCCCCACAGAAATCGGCTCCACACCTTCCTCACATCCCCTCACATCATGGTTGGGAAGGAGACAAGGGGAGGCTGGTGGCTGGGCCAGGTGAATCCTGGCCCTTGTGGCCCAGTCCCTCAGGGGGCAGTGAGCGGAGGTGGCAGTTGCTGGGCAGGGGACTGCTCAAGACCCTTCCTGTGCCAGGAATCTCTGATTTCTGTTTAACTTATAGCATGTGTTGAAGTCAAACTATGTCCCAGAACCTAAAGCCACAGTCATGAAGAAGTCAGTTTCAGCCCCTAACTCCAAAAGAGGGCGCTCCCTGACACCTATGTGTCCTGCAGCCATTCCCTCCTCCCCTTTCCACGCTCTATAACTCCACCAGCTCCAGTCAGTGCCCTGACCGGCCTTGGACTCGGCATTCTCACACATGGCCTCAGTGAATAGTCTCAGCCACCCAGTGGACGTTATTACCCCATTTTTATAGACACAATACCTAATATTCAGAATGGCTCATTAACTTGCCTGAGGTCGCACAGCTTACTGGTGGCACAGGTGGGACTCAGAACTAGAGCAGTTGGACTGACCCCAAGGTCTACAGGTTGTTATTATTATTTTTTTAAATGGGAGGAGGGAGACCCAATTCCTTATCTGTGTTTGGGGTTGCAAACTTGCTTGAATTCCTGGAGCAGATCAGCAGCCTCCTATCACATCACTACCATTCATGTGTTAACAAGAGCCTGCTGAAATCAGATTAGGGGGCAGAGGGGAGATGGGGAGGGCACTCGGACATCATATAGGTACAACTTTATCAAGCCAGTCACGGCTTCTGTGCCTTGCTGTCCCCACCTATAAAGTGTGCTAGACTCTATGGGGCCCAAGGTGCTGAGCAGAACAAAGTGAGAAATGAAGCTTCCCCCACAAACCACAGTCAAGTGTGTGTGAGCATGCGAGTGTGAGTGTGCCATGGGAGTGTATCTGTGTGAGAGTGTATATGACTGTGCAGTGTGTATACATGTGCGACTGTGCAACTGTGTGGGTATTGAATGAGTGTGCATGTGTGCATGAGTGTTAGGGTGTGTGCACATGCAGACCCCTCTGTGAGGTCTGAAGCCCCACTGTCCTGCTCACTCGCCTTGTGTCCCACTGCCCAGAGCAGTGTACGGCAGGAGCAGGGCTCCATGAACATCAGCCCCACAGACCAGCATGAGCCACGTGACCTCAGACACTCCTGATGCCCAGAATGGGCTTGGGCTGTGACTAGCTCAAGGCCATACAGTCAGTCAGTGACTCAGTGCTGGCCCAGCACCACGCCACACCACTTCTCCCCTCTCCCTCCTCTCCTCTCTTCCCCCTGCCCCGGCCCAGTGCAATTCACCCTTGGTGTGAGGGGAAGTGACACTTCCTTTCATGAAAAGTCACTTACTAGGAGCACTGTGTCAATTTTAACAATAATGGTAACAGCAGCCTCAACAACAACCAGCAGACATGGCCCCACCCCCTCGCCTGAGGTGCTTGGCTAAAGTTTCTCTTAGCTTCAGCTGGAGCCCAAACAAAGGCGGCCTTTGAAGCAGCCAGTCCACTCTGGCCCAGGAGCTGGCTGCCTGGCGGAGTCCTGGTGTGGCACTGCTCCAGTGGGCCGTTTCTGGAGGGCTGTTATCCAGCCAGACAGCTGGACATGGGACCCTGAAGGCTCAGGGCACAGCTTCTGCCACAGCCTTGCCTCAGTGTCTCAGCTGGGAGTAGGGGGATGGGGTCTACCAGCTGCTGGGTTCAGGATGGCAACCTGGAGGTAGTATAGAAAGGTAGGGGGATCAGGTACCAAATGTGAGGCTGCCAACGCACAGGCCTCAGTAGGACTTGGGTCCCTCTTAGCAGCTCTGGCACGTCCTAAAAAATCCTATTCTAGGATGCGGCTGCATGCTTACGCCCCTCCCCTCCGAATCTGGGTGACACTTGAGGATAACAGTTGCAGCTCCGCCCCTGACCTGTTTCCTGTGCCCCCAAGAACTATGTTCCTTCTTCCCAATTGCACTTGGAGAAACCACATGCAGGGGTTTGTCCAAGACGTGCCCAACACTAAAAGTACAGCTTGACCCCTTCAGGGGCATTCCTCTGCCTCTGTGCCTTCCACTCCCCTCCCAGAGCCCCGAGGGTGGCTCTCCGGGTACGCTCGCGGTGCAGGAACTAGGAGGGAGCCATAGGCCAGTTTCCCACCGGGACAGAGAAGGCGAGGGCGGATTCTCTGAGGCCTGTCCTCCCTCACGGTGGGACTTGGGTGGTCTTAGGGCCTCAGTTGCTCAGACAGTAAATGAAAGGAGGGGCCAACTCTTTGAGTCACTCCAAGTTCCCAGCATAGACGGTCCCCGCGCTCGGATGGACTGTGGAACTCAACTTCGGGCCGACCCTCTAGACGCCATCTCCCATCCCTCCCCTGCAGGCGCAGAGACACCTAAGCCCCCAACGGTGGTGCTCAGGTGGGGCAAGAAATGCTGGCTATTCTCCTTTTGTCCGGGAGACTTTCCTCCTTGGCTAACGACCCCAGGAAGGGACGCTGGGGCAGCAGCTCCGGACCCGCACCCCGAGCCCTTGGGGGTCTGCAGGAATGGGGAATACAGGAGGTACCCGTGGACGCTGCGGAGGAACCCCATCCTCCTCTGGAGACACGAGGGGCCGAAAACGCAAGAGAGAACCGGAGAGCAGAGGGCGGCGACCCCCTTGCTGCCGCCGGGCCGAGGAGGGTGGGCAGAAGACACAGGGGAGACCGGAAAGAAAAGGGAAAAAGCGAGAGGAAAGAGAAAGGGTGGGCGAGACGCTGTGAGCGGGGAGGACCAGCGCGGCCACGGCGGAAAGAGGAACCAGCGATTCTTCAAAGTGCGCGGAGCAAGTTCTTCAAAACCCGCGCAGCGTCACTTTCAGGAAACGGCGGGCGCGGTGGGGAGCGCGCCCCGGACCCGAGCTTCTTACCGGCGGCGCGGCCGGTTCTGAGAACGGCGGCGCAGACTGGAGCAAGAAGGGGGCGGCCTGGGCAGGCAGAGGCGGGGGGGGGGGGGGGCGGGGGCAGACAAGGATGAGGGGCAGATGGGGGTGGGGGACAGACGGGGAGGGATTGAGGAGGGCAGTTGGGGGGCGGGGACAAATGGGTGACCTGGAGCAGATAGGGGTGGGAGCAGATGGAGGCGGGGGGCAGGGAGACGGTCGCGGACAGCTGTCACAACAAATTAGCTGAGGCCAGCTCGAGATTGAAACCACAGCAGGAAGTGGGATGACAGAGCGTGCAGGACTCAGTACATCTCTGTCAGGAGACGGCGAGAAGAGTTTCGAGATAAACGTCCGGGAAGCCCCTGGCCGCCAGAACTTTTTGTCTTTCCTTTTTTGAAGAGCGCGCCCCGACACCTGGCCTCCCTCCCGAGCGGGTGGAGGCGCTGGCACCCCGGGCCGCCTTAGTCCCTGGGCCGGCTGAGACCCCGCTCCCCGCAGTGCGCCCCAGTACCGCTCCGCCCCCCGAAGTGGTGCCGACGGCCGCGAGGCCCGGAGAGACCCAGCGCCGCAGCCTCGCGCTCCCCGCGGGCCGCCAGCCCCTCACCCGCCAGCCTTGAGCAGCTTACCCATAGCCCGCCGAGGTTCCGAGGCGCGCCAAGCCCTCCGCACTCTCCACTTACAGACCCCGCGTTCCCGGCGCACTAGCCGCCTCGCAGACCCGCCCTCGCCCCGCCCGCGCCCCGCCCGCGCCCCACTCGGGCTCCGCCCCGCCCCCCCGAGCACTGCCCTGCCCCCGCCCCACTCCAGCTCCGATTGGTGGGTCCGAGTCTCCGCGCGGGCAGGGTCCGCCCCCTGAGCCTGGGGTACTCTGGGAGTTGTAGTGTGCTCTCCGCTCCCTAGGCTCTGGGCTCCTGAAATAGGCTCCTTCCTTTATGGGCTGAAGTAGGACATCCAGGAATCATTGCTGCCTTCTTCTCTATAGAGGCCTAACTATAGTCTTGGGGAAATCCTCCTTGCTTGCAGCAGGCCACTGGGAGTTGGGTGGAATGAACAAAGTGCTTCTGACTTTGGCTCTAACTAGATGGTGGGCATTTCCCCACTCCTAGCTTAACATTGAAGTAGAGGTGGCTGGTGTTAGCCAAACAAGGACCCCAGCACAAATTAGCAAGTCCTTGGCCAAAGTTCTGTGGGGTCCCAGAAATGCCTAGAACAGGAAGCCTGCCCTTGGTGGCCAACGTCCACATATATCATGAAGACAGAGAGTGGCAGCTACAAAGTAAGCAGTGCAAAGAGGGGCATGGACCCTGCTTGGAGTGGTAAGAGTGAGATTTAGGGTGGAGTCGGGGCTAGAGGAAATGCTGAGCCAGCTGAGGAAGGTTTCCACTGGAGTGAGGAGTAACTCAGCCAGCCAAGTACACCGGCCATGTGCCCGTCATAGAAAAGGAAACCGAGGCTCAGGTATGAGAGCCCAAGGTTTGGCAGCATCATTCACAACAGACAAAAGATGAAAGCAACCCAGTGTCCACCAATGGATGAATGGATACACTGGAGTACATGCATGAAATATTATGGAATATTACTCAGTCTTAAAAAGAAAAAAGTGAGGAAATTCTAATATACGCTACAATGTGGATGAACCTCAAAGACATTATGCTGAGTGACATAACCAGACACAAAGGACAAGTTCTGTATGATCTAACTTATAGAAAATATTAGAGTCAAAATCACAGGGAAAAACAGTAGCACGGTGGTTGCCAGGGGCTCGGAGGAAGGGGAATGGGGAGGTGGTGTTTAATAAGTATAAAGATTTAGTTTGGCCAGTTGAAAAAATTCTAGAGATGGATGGTGGTGATGATTGCACAACAATGTGAATGTTCTAATGTCACTGAACTGTACACTTCAAAATAGTTAAAATGGGCCCTGGCTGGGTAGTTCAGTTGGTTAGAGCATCATCCTAATGCTCCAAGGCTGCAGGTTCAATCCCTGGTCAGGGCACATAGAAGAACCAACCAATAAATGCATCAATAAGTGGAATAACAAATCAATGTTTCTTCCTCTCAGATTAATTTAAAAATGGTTAAAATGGTAAATTTTATGTTATATACTTTACCACAATTTGGGAAAAGAGCCTAAGGTCTCAGCATATGTCTAGCTAGGACTTGAACCCTGTTCCTAATGCATAGTAGGCACTCACAATATTTTTTTATTGATTAGTCCTATGCATTTCATGCCATCATTGTCTTAATTTTATAGGGTAAAACTGAGATTCTGCTAGGTTCATTAGCTCAAATAGCACTGCTGGTTAGGGGTGGAGCCTGAACTAAACGTCTTAACTAACTAAACTTTGGGGCTCCAGGACAGGTCTTATTAACCATTCCCATCAGCTCTCTCTTGGCAGGGCTGTTAACAGAATCAGGGACCATGGCCTGAGGAGGAGAGCCTAAACGGGGAGACCTGAGCTCTGGTGAAGAAGTATGGGTCAGTGAGGTGTCCACCTGGCTGCTGGAGCGGAGGCCTGCAATCCAGGAGGAAAGCGCAGACTAGAAATGCAGACAGATGATTAAGGAACCCTCATGTCCAGGCACCCACCAACTGTGTTTGCGCCTATTTTTGCCCAGCCATCATCCTAAACAAATGGACCTTGAAACCCTGAAAGTTGGTGATCTTGAAACCTTGGCCTTACCCTCTGGCCCTAGATGGAAGACCTCTCCAGGCTCAGCTCAGAGTGGATGACACTACAGCCTCCCTTCTCTACCTCATGGGTTTGGTTTGTAAGAGCCAGTGCATGTAGATTTTGTAACTTACATATAGTCGATGATGTTTACTACTTGCCCTAAACAGTTGATATAATGGTGATCATAATAGTGCACCCCACTTCCCAGTTTGCAAGCTATTCAGGGGGAGCTGAGACTGTGGTGGCAGACAATACAATGCAATGCCATCAGGAAGTTTAACAAACTTCTAGTCTCACTTCATCCATTCTATAAGGATTAAGTGCCTAAATTTGGGATGGAGACCTGGCTGCTGCCCTCAGCGTCAGAGTTTAAGCCAACCCCTCCCTCCTGAACTGGATATGGCCGTGATGAGGAACTCACTACCTTACAACACGGGATAGAGTTATTCTGTCATCTAGACAGCCGAATACACGCTTACACACAGTAGCTGTTGTGCAAAGCCTCAGCGCATCAACACCTGCCTGTGCCAACCTGGGAACAATATGATCTAAATTTAATTGCCTCCTGAGGAAACTTTGCAATGGAATGTAATTTACAACAGCCAATAAATCTTGCCTAGAAGCGACATTATCTTCCTTTGCTTCTCTAAAGGCATAAACACCTCCATTGCTTAAGCCACTATCTAACACACCTCCACCTCCTGCCCACAGCCAGCCTCCAGTCTCCAGACCCCAGCTTAAAATGGCCTGAGAACAGTTGCCTCACCCTTAATGTTGGGGTCTGTGTGTCTCATAAAAAAAAAAAAAAAAAAAAAAAGTCTTTTAAAAAATGCCACTAATAAACACATTCTTCCTGAAAAAATGTTAAATAAATCAGTGCTGACACCACTCCAAATTCAGTTCCCTCCCTGCCCCAAAGATAAGGACTATTATATGTATTTTTATAAATATATGTATCCATGGTGTAGAAAAATATAAAACTTTATGAGTATTTTAAAATAAATGATGTAATTCTAATTGTTCCATTCTGCAACATGCTTTTCTGCCCAACAGTATGTTTTGGAGACTTCTCCATGTCAGAACACAGATCTGCTTCTCATGAGACAGGATGCATTATTTGCTGCGGAGCTACCAAAACGTCTCTATTTAATTCCCTGTAGATGGTGCTTAACCTTTTTACAATTACATGAATCCTCTGAGAACATTCTGGACCTCCTCAGAATACTCTCAGGGCTGAGCAGCTCACAAAGTATTCCCAGAGATTGAGCTAAAAACTACCTTTTCCTAACTCCTGCTTCCAAATCCTAGAACCCCTTGCTGGCTCAGTTCTTAGAAGAAAACCTGGCCCCTGGGGTGGTTCTTATCCTGGGGCTCTCAGAGCTGGAGGGACCCTTCAAAATCTTCTTTCCACTGGGACTTATTTTAGAGAGGTGGCCACCGGGCCCAGAGATGTTAAGCTAGTTGCCTGAGGTCACGCAGCAAAAGATTGTTGCGGCTTCATCTGGGACTCGGTGCACTCAGGAAACAACACACATTTTCTGTCCTGCCAGTTTTCTGCCCTGGGAAACTCTGTTCCCAGGCTCAGCTGTTGCAAAAGGCCCCCAGGGCTTTGTTTTCAAAGGAAAAATGAAGCGGGAAGTATTTTTAACCGCTGGCCCGCCTTGCTCCTGCCTCGCTCCCTCACGATAGCTGTCCAGGAAAGGCTGGCTTCACAGTGGCATTAGCAACTCATGGAAAACAACAAACGCCCAAAATAGAGATTGCCAGCTCAGGAATGGAAAAAATTGGCTCATGGCTTCAAATGCCTCTTTTAGAAAAAGCCAAGAATAGCTTTCGGCCTTTGGGGAACTGCTGGGGGTGAGAGAGTGAGGAGGCGTGGTGTTAGGGTAGGGATCCAGCCCAGATCGCCAAGGGCCCAACTCCCCGCCTAAAGAGCTGGCCCTGTTCCTCCATGAAACGTGAAAACTCGCTTCCCCAGCTTTGTCCACACTGGGCGCCAATCCACACCTGGCTGTCTGTTCCCTCCACCCTCCAGCCCCCTCAGCCCTGCCCTTCAGCTGAACGTGAAACAACTCCCTTTGATGGGCTGGGCAGAGTCTGGAAGCACCCCTCCCACAAAGGTCCCAGCAGGCTGGAAACCAAGATTCTGCATTTCCTGAGCCTGAATGCTGAAAGTCCAATTCCTCTGAGGGGATTGGGGGTGGTGAAAAGGAGAGAAAATTTGGGTTTTTATCCCTACTCAGACAGCCCAGCTGTGTAGTCTTGGGCAGTCACTTGACCTCTTGGAGCCTGAGGTCCCTCATCTGGAAAACAAGGGTAATGCTTCATTTATTCATTCATCCACTATCTGTTGTGGTTCTAGTATGTGCCAGCACTCAGCTAGACTCTGGGGACATAGCCATGATCAGACAAGGATCCAAAAGGTGTCCCTTTCCAACCTCACAGCCTGCAGAGAATCAGCCGTTGCTTCTTCAGACCAGGCCACGGCCTGGTGCTGGGAAGAGTGCAAATGCCTGGCCCAGTGTTTCCTCTATCAGATACTGAACCAGACATCTTATAGGATTATTAAATTTAATGTCACCCCAGCCCTATGGACACTATAGTATTGATCCCCATATTCCCGTTGAGGACATGGAGGAGCCAAGAGTAAGCGCTGGACAGTTTTGTAGACTCATCCACAAACAGGAATAAGGAAAGGCTATGTGCCTGCTGTGTCCCTTTAAGTCCTGGAGACCCTGATAAGTAAAGTCTGGTCTGTGTGTCACTTTGTGACACATCGTGGTAATTCTAGACTGGAGGTCAGTTCGAATGCTCCGGACAAAAAACTTTTTAAAAATTTGGAGTCTGCGTAGCGCTTTTACTTAAAAATCTTAACTACCCCTTCAACCCTGTCTTCTACGATCGTCTCCCATTACAGGTGAGTATGCATTTAGACTTAAGCGGCTTGTCTTGTGACCGCACCACAGCGGTTCTGGCTGAAGGGTTCGTTGTCACGTCAGGTTCCCAGGACCCCGCGTCCAACTCGCACCCGG